TTGTTCCTGAGGTGTTCTTGCCCATCTCCTGCCGCAGATAAAATACTGCAGGCAAGGGCAGCACTGACAATGAAATAAACGTTACTGCTGCTGGCTCCAGCGCGCCTCAGAGCAATCCGCAGGCACAAACAGCCGGCTTAAGAAGTGACTGTCACTTACGGGAGGGTTGTTTTTTACCTCTTTTCTAAGAATCTCGGCCATATGCCGGGAGCTAATAACCAGTTTTCTTAGATGAATAACGAGGATCTGTTGGAGTTTCTTTGCTGTTTTAATTCGAATAAAGTTAACACGTTCAAGCCATGCGGTCATCTGTAGCCACTGTATTTCTACACTTGCATCTGGATGCAGGTAGTTTTGATGGAGGGGGCGTCAGGACATTTTGATTCCAATCCCTTCAGCGTATACAAAGGTTATTATTATTCTTTCTGCGGGAAAGGTACTGCTTCGTGCCTAAAGCAAATAGCTTGCAGAAGAGTAAATGGAATTTTTTTCCTGTGAGGGGAATATTCGCGCGTATTTCTCATCACATCAGGCCACGTTTGATTTAACCTTAATGTAACTAGTGGTTTTCATTTCGACTTCAGCGTCTCCGTAAATGCTTTTTATGAAGTGGTTGCCTCTTTTAGTTATCAACAACGTTTTTGAGGAAGAGTGGGGGGCAGCATAGAGTCTCTTGACGGTCATCTCGCCGCGAGTGCTACCTCTGAAGCAGCATTTTCACGTGTCACCTCCACGATGAAACGATGCGACCGCCCAAAGAGCCGCAGTATCCGTAAGCTGCCCCGGCGCCCTTGGCCGGGAGCCCTTCCCGTTTCCCTCCGGGGTGATTCCAATCATCCCCCCCTCTGTTGAGGATGGAGCACCAAGACATTAGGGCAGTGGCGGGGACCCTCTGCCCGGGATCCCTGAAAGCACCAGCTGGGCCATCAGCGGCAGGAGATGCCCCTTTTGCTCACCACCTCTCTCTCCGATACACCCCAGGGAGCAGGGCTGGGAGACGGTGCTGGGAAACGGACGGAAGGAAATCCACGTAGCCTTTTACAGAGGAGATAACGAATATTTCCAGGCGTTGACCTCAAAGAGGAAGCCCCGGACAGTATAGTCTCCGTGCCAATTTGCAGAAGCCCCTCTAATCACTTGGCTGCCTCTGGCTGTGGCCGCAGACACCTGCTGGGCGGCTGCCCGGCGGGTGCGGCCGCCGGCTCAGCCCCCTTGTCCCAGCGGGGCCGGCGACCCGCGCCCCGGGCGGGCAGCCAGGCACTCTCCCCCAGGCAACATCTGCGAGGGTCTGCCCTTCCCGATCTGCTCCCAGCAGCGTTTGTCAACCCCTCGCCAGGCATTTTATTTGGGGAGAAAACAAGGGGAGCTGGCGGAGCTGCCTCTGCGGGCGCCGGGGCAGGGGCTGGGGTTGGAAACGGGCGGCTGCCCATCGCGGCAACCCGCCCGGTCTCCGCTCGCTTCATTCCTGTATCATTAACCCGCGGGTGAAGCAACTGTTTGTGTGCCCTCTCTCCCTCTCTGGGCTGCTTTTTCACTGTTACTGATCCATCCTTCGTAAATCATTTATGGGGAATTGGGCACTTCTCTCCTCGCAGGAGCTTCTCTTGAAAAACTTTCCCATCTTCAGGCAAGCGCCCGTCCTTTGTTATCACGAATAATTGATAAAGGACCCCAACGTGCCTTCAAAAACCATCTAAACGGCTGCCGGGAAGTACAGTCACTTAGGGTCACAGGCTACTCTCGACTTTAAAAGCGCAATACAGGAAACGATCAGGACCAAACTAGTTTAAAGAAACAGATAGTTTTATGTGGTTACCTGAAACAATAAATGGGAAACGCGGTCTAATTTTGCAGGTACTGGCACCAGGTGTTCAAGTTCCCCTTCCTCCTGATCAGAGAGCACCTGAAATTCTGGTACTAATTAAAGTTTCTGCGTTTTGTTGCCTCGAAAAACAGTGAGAGAAAAAGTGCATTGTTCAAAAGAAAAAGAAAAGCTATAAACATTATAACTGTGAATCGTCAGATTACGCTAGCAGCACGCGGCTATGAACCGATTTCAGGGGCTGTATTAGAGACTCTGTTTTCTAACAGAGGTTCCCTGGCTAAACTATTAATTGCCAGGGTTTCATGAAAGATTTGCAGACTTTACAATCATTTATGATCCGTGCAATAAAAACTCGGAGATACGGGCAGGCTGGTTCAAGGCGTAATGCAAAGATGTATTAGGTGCCCTTGGCAACTATCTGTGGGTGCTGTTTGTGTTCTCCGAACACGCCCTTCAGTGCAATGAACATTTCTGCAAACCGCGGGTTGGGTTGTTCATTTCCAGAGCTCTGGATGTTCACACAAAAGAGCTATAGATTTAAGGCGGGGGAATCGAATGCTTGGAAACTCATTCTAGTCCCCCGAAGAGTTCAAATGCAAGTGAGATAATTACCCTTGACGAAAAGTAAACTTCGAGGTAAAATACATGCCTTTCTCCCTCGTAAATTAAAAGCCCTCCAGAGAGCAGGTCTGAGGTTCAGCGCCGCAGTGCTCTCCTGACCCCCATCCAGGCGGAGATCACATTATTGTCCGCCGCAGCAGAAGGCGGAGAGGAACCCCTCGTGTCCCAGGAAAGACACCTCAAAGGGCATCGCCGGTGCTACGACGATATCCTATTTAGGAGCCTCATAAGCGAGCACCTCAGGCATTTTAAAGATTATCCCCCTAAAGATCTTTGAAGATTATGCTAATGACTGCAGATTACATGAGTTTACTGCCAGAGCGGCCGAACAAAACCCGCCTCGTGGCGGCCGCCCGCGGTCATTTTCTGCCTCTCTTTTAAGATCATTTGCGCCCCCCTCCCCTGGCCGTTCCCCTCATTAGCAGCGGAGGGAGGAGGGAGGCGAGGGGTGCTTTTTCCTGACCGGGCCGGGGGGCTGCGGCGTTGCGAGGGCGCCGGGCCGGGCCGGGCCGGGCCGGGCCGGGCCGCAGGTGGAGCGGGCGGCGGGCGCCGTGCGAGACCCAGCCGTGCCCCCTAGCGGCGCCCCCGCCGCCGCCGCCACAGGGCACGGGGAGGCCGCGCCGCAACACAACCGCGGGGTGCCCGCAGCGGCAGCCAGGGAGGAGCTACGGCCCCGGCCCCAGCCGGTAGTGGCTGCCTTTAAGCGAGAAAATGAGCAGAATCCTGCCAGCGTGTCCCTAGTGTCACACGCGAGGCGTCCCGCGTTCCACAGGGGGAAAGTAAAGGATCGGCAGCCTAAAGGTTTCACGCTGTCTCAATGCTTCGTTCATCCCCGTGTCCCAACCCTCCCCGCCCCCCACGCCCTTGACCCTTTCACCCCACAAAGAGATTGTTAAATAAGGGTGTAAGAGCAAGAGTCTCCATCCTGTTTGTTCCACTGGACTCGTGTCAGTGATTCTAGCAATTCCTTCCCCGGAAAAAAGCACATGCTCTGGTCTTGCAAATAGAGGGCGTGGAGCCCACATCGTCTAGGACGTTGTCATTAACACAACCATAGTGAATATGTCGAAGCACGAATCATGTTCACTATGTTTGTTTTTCTGATTAAAAGTCCTGCCAGGCTTAAAGCAGGAATAAAGACTTGGAAGCACAAATGCTACACTCATGTAATGAGAACAAATATAATGAAAATTACTCCCCAGATGAAGACAGAAATTGCGTATTTGTAGATACAGTTTTGATCTTGTTGCCTAACCTGGGTCATGTTCATGATATGCTCTGTGCAAATTGAGATTGGCTTCTTTTCCTCCCAAAATACAGCCAAGAGATGCATGCACGAACAAAAGATGAAAGAAAAAAATTTAATATCAGATTAGTTTTCTAAGGATTTGTTTCTTGGTCTATGCACATGAAGTGCATTCTTCTATCATTATTTGATGCTTGTAATGTGGTTTAGAATATACTTTATGCTTATCTATAAAAATGATCAAAAGAATTTATATGCCTGACAATTTCGGTATGGATACGTGTCTGCTAGTCTACACGCTCTGTCCAACATGGGCTATTCTTAAATGATCCTTACTGAAGTGAAGACTTCTCCCTCTGTGTTTTGAGTATATGGTGGTCGACTTAGGTTTCCAGAAGATAAAGGTCTTTGGACATACCTTGAAACTGTAGTATAGGTAAGCATAGAATATTGCTGTTGAAAGAGATTTAAGCAATACTGATACGAGAACACAGCAAAAATGACACTGGCTAGAGCAGAGGTTAACAGGATGAGTGTGCATCTGATACGTAATTTGTACACGAAGTAGTTCTAATTTGTTGATTCAGTTAGGGAAGATTGAATTCAAAATGTAGGCAAGGTAAAAGAAAATGATCTTTTACTGGTAAGCGAGTAATTCATACTGGAAGCCATCATCTGCTGAGAGTTGGGAATAATTCAATCTCCATGACATCAACTGATGAAAACTTCTGTTTTCAGTCATGCTATGCAAGTAAAAAGCACCACAGAAGTCTGATGAGCCATTTAAGAAATTCCATTTGTCTGGGTTAATAACGATGGTTAAAACAAAGTGGTCTGTCTGGGTTATTTTTATGCTTACATAGATGCAGAGAAGATGAGACAATTCAACTTTGCCTAAATCTTACAGTTTACCAGATAATTTTATAACATTCTCAAATCTATTGTGCTCTGCACTGAATTAAAAAAACTACAGAATAGTTTTGGAGCCTATTTTGGGTGTTAAATAGTTTAAAATAAAGGTTTTTTTAACTTATTTCCTTTACAGATCACCACCTATTCTCTTCAGTGAGTTACAGACTTACGGCAGTATTCTTAGTTTTATTTTCTTTTCTTAGTCACCCCTAACGTTCTCCTCAGTCCGCACAAACCACAGTGATTCACAGATCACCAGCTGAAAAGCACTGCTTTAGGAAGATCCTGCCAGCTCCTCCCGGATGGTTTCAGTTAAACTGGTTACACTTTAACCGATTCAATGTAGTTGGCTCAAAAACACATGGCTCAGGTGTTTAATGCAGAAGGCGGCCCAAGTGTAGGCCACAGGAGCTGAGGCTGAAGGGCCGGAGCCAGGGAAGTGCTGAAGGGCCCAGGCAGTCCCATCCTTGCTCTGAGCACTTCTTCCTAGGTTGACCACTCCCTAGCTGAAAGCTGCCAATTTCTTAGATCTTCCACCAATCATGTCAAAACAACTCAAAAATTATGTTAGGTTGTTTCCTCTTAGATGATTCTAATAGTACTAGACATGCAGTTACGATAGGAGATCTGAGGGGGCATATAATGTTCAAAATACCCATCCAAAGGGGGACTGGCAGCTTGCGGTGGAAGGTGAGTGGCTGTATTCTGCATTGACTACAGTGCTGGACGTGTTGAAGGTATAAGAACTAGATGATCTTTAAGGTTCATTCCAACCCAAACAATTCTATAACTTTATTCATCCCCGAGAGGGGGGACCTCTGTCTATCTTCAAGTCCTGAAGTTACCAGATCTGGAAGGGGCAGGCCTTTATATGTATCTCAGACTTTTATGTGCTCACATAACTACAGAAGCTACAAAGATCCCAGGTGGAGCTGTGATTCATGTATATTCTTCATACTCTGTACAGAGCACAGCAGCATTCAACACACATGTTCATAATTATATTAATAATACGTCAATTTTTATTTCTAAGGTAATAAAAATAGAGAAGAATGTCATTTTTGTTTTAACACTGCTATTTAAGATAGCTATAGATCTAAAACTCCACATTTACATTTTCAGTGGGACTCACATGATACAATACCACCTTCCTTAAGTCTAACCTAGAGGCTAATCTCAGTATGGGCATTCTTATATTCTAGGTGATGAACCTTAAGTTGCTATTTATTTAAATATTTTGCATAAAACTAAAAGCTTAATAAAGAAAGTGTAAAATCAAACATCACTAAAGGTTGCTAAGAAACAATATATTTATCTATTAAATAATTTGTAAAGTTTAGTAACAAACCTCAGGAAATATGCTGGGGTCACCATAAAAATAACCACACTCCATAAATCGTATCACACTATATAAGTTAATACTGTTAACTTTCAGTGTTTTCTCATACCAAATTGTACAAGCAGGCATTTTCTTTCAAGGAATGGGTAAGATCGATGCATGTTTTTGCCAGCCTGGCAGTAGGATGTTTTAGCGAAGTACTTAGACTATTTTTTTTCCCAGAAAGTTTATATGTGTACTTTGATAGCATGCTAAAATGAGTGAATTTGAGAGTATCCACCTTTCCCTGAGAAAAGGAAAGAAAAAAACATTTAAGTCGAGATTCTGTGTTGGTTAGAAGAAATGAAATGCATCAAACTCATTAAAAAAATAGCTGTTTTGAGAGTTATTGGTTTGCCTCTTCAATACAAAAGATGTAAACCAAAATAAACATGCTGGAAAAGATTACATGGAAAAGAAATTCTCTCCCCAGTATGGCATACATTGAATTCTCTGAGGAAGAAGTCCTTGGGAAACAACTGCTTCTCTATTGTCTATGCTACTATCATCACAGAACAGCTGATTTGTCTTTGAGGGATGATCTGTATACATATTTATACATTTGTTTAGATGTACTACTTCCTCTGCTTTCTCAGTAGACTTACTGCGTGATATTTTGCCAAATTTCTAGGCTCTCTGTGTTCCATTTATTTATTCATGTACCTAGTGTAATGGATATTCCTCATGTTGGGAGAAATAGAAGTTCTGGGGAGAAGGCCAGACTCACATAATAAAAGAAAGAGGCCTCAGACTCCCTGAAGATGAAGCAGCATGCTCCACAGGTCTAGCATAGGAATTCAGTATACAGAGCATATATGTAAGTAGACCTAAGACATTTTTCAGGTGCTTGATGCAAACCATGTGCACTGGAACCAGGGCCTGTGTTGCATCTGAACTATTGGTGTGCACCAGATTCATCTTCTGTTACTGTGTTGGAGCCTCAGGGCTGGAAATGTGTACAATGAAGGGAATTTCAGACTTTCTTTTCTTTGGAAGCATCTATTCCTGATACCATTCATCATAAAGTCTTGTATGAAACAGGGAAGGTTATTCAGAAACCTCAAACTTAAATGAGCCTATGACTGGATGGCCCTGTGCAGCACCAGGAGTTGAACTCGATGATTCTTGTGAGTTCCTTCCTATAAGACCACAGGTCAAGCCACATGCCACCCAGGCATTTTACTTATATTTAAGGCTCCAAAATTTAATTTTTTGCAAAGCCTTTGGTACTTAATACCTTGAGGTCACACAGAGAGAACACGCTACATATGTTTCTCCAGAAATTTCTTTTAATTTAGTGAGAAAATAGGCATTTTGGCTGAAGTTAAAAGGGGTAACATACAACCAATTATTTCACTGAATTACCCAGCACACACTAACTTCATGACTAGGCTTTGTGAACGAAGATTTGGGAAGGCTCTATCCACGTTTGTTACAAGCACGCTGGTGGCTAATGAGGTCAATACAAGATAGACATATCTGATTGCAAAAGGCACAGCAGAAAAACTCCTTAGGTGGTATATTCTGCAAGACATGATTCTTTCTGCACTGTCTTTTCTCCTCGAGAGTGATCCTGCGTGCGTTCTCAAAGGAAGCAGCAGCGTTATAGATGGTGTGTCTCCAGGCCTCCCAATTGGAGGCCAGAGTAGACCAGTTATGTTGATCAATATGGCCAAGGCTGAGATGTTGTTTCAGGGAATCCTTGTATCTTCTCTTCGGGGCTCCTCTCTTGTGGCAGCCAGTGGCAAGTTCACCATAAAGCAAGACCTTAGGGAGGCGGTGGTCCTTCATCCTGGAGATGTGCCCTGCCCAACACAGCTGTGTTCTCAGTAACATGGCCTCAATACTTGTGATAGCTGCTTGTTCTAGAACAGATGTATTAGTCACATAATCTGACCAGTGGATGTTTAGGATTGTTCGGAGGCAGCGTTGATGGAAGCGTTCTAGGAGTCGCAGGTGGTGGTGGTAGATGACCCATGATTCGGAACCATATAAGAGAGCAGACAGCACTATGGCTCTGTAAACACTGATCTTGGTGCTTTTCTTCAAGTGTTTATTATGCCAAACTCTTTTATGGAGTTTTCCAAAAGCACTGTATGCCTTTGCTAACCTGTTGTCTATCTCCCTGTAAATCTTACCATCCGAGGAGATGAGGCTACCGAGGTAATTAAACTGCTGGACTGATTTGAGCTCTGATTCACCAATGGTGATATGGGGATGATGGAAGACTTCCTGAGGTACAGGTTGATAGAGAACTTCTGTCCTTTTTAAGCTGACTTCCAGCCCAAAGAGCTCAGCAGCGTCTGCAAAGCAGGATGTTAAACACTGCAGAGCTGCTTCTGTGTGGGTGATAAGGGCGGCGTCATCAGCATAAAGCAGCTCCCGGACAAGATGGTTTAAGGTCTTGGTGTGGGCCTTCAGTCGATACCGTACTGATGGAAGCCTTTTCAACCTAAGGCAACACTAACTTACAACTTAGTAAAATACAACCCATCATCTTTAAGTTACCCAAAAGAAATTAAGGACAGAATAAAGAAAAGAATAAAGAAAGACATTAAGAGAAAAAAGAAGGAGTAAATAAAGAGATTAGAATAAAAGAATGACATAGCTACCACTGAAGAGTCCTATGGAAGTCCAGAGCTTCACATGGTGATGGCAGGTCCCTAGAGAAAAGGCAAGATGGAGCCCATGTACTGCTGTATTTATGTGGTCTGGCCACGTGTCCACCCCTTCCCCCGGCTGGACGTCCGGCGCTGATCACCCAGTGCCCTCCAGGCCACAGTGTGGGGTGGTGCAACCAGTCTGAGGCCCCAGGGGGTGTGGTGTGGGCAGGCAACCAGGCAGGTCTGTTGGTTGGCAGCCCTGCCATGTGTCTTCCGTGAACCCACAGGAGACTGCCATGAGGCTGCAGGCCTCACCATGGACTCCAACCTGGCTCCCCCCCCAACACACACATGAGTTGGTTGATTCTGATCCCATGATAAAATAATCCAGTGAGATTTTAATCCAGTATCTCAGACTTCCAACTTGGCATGTTCTGTGATTCTGTGATTCTGGGACTGAAGAAAATACCAGATGAAGCTTCTTAACAAATCTTGCTTCCAAAAAGTCTCTTATCCTGACTTGTAAGTGGACAAAAGTGACCAAACTGAGTTATCAGACTGATTAGGCTGGTAAAAGAAGCTCTGTCAAGGGAAAAAAAAGCTTTGTATGCTGTAGCGTTATTGCCAGGATTCAAATTCTATTCGTGTTCCATCTTATTTTTGACACTTGAATATATGTAAAATGTATAACTGAAATACATTTATGCAGGTGTCTTGTGGGCCTTAATTACAACAATTGTGCTAGTCACAGAGGCTATACACATTTGTATATGCATATGGGAAGAGTAAACCGTTTCAGTAGATGAATTAATTTTCTCTAATTCAAAATCCCTAATTATAGTTTTAATGCTTTACGGAAGGAAAGAGAGAGAAATTACACCTTTTCTCAGTTTCATTCCTTTACATGTAACAATTTTAACAATTTGAATTCCAGCTCTCTACAGTAGTTTATGTGGCTTGTGTTTTGTGAGACTGTGTAAAACGTAAACTCTATTTTATTTCTCTGTAAATGTCAGGAGAGTATAAATCAATAATAGAGTGGTAACTGTGCAATTAACTCATGTCACCCCTGTACCTTCACATTAGCATCACTGAGAAGGATCTTACCCTTTCAGTGACCTCAGTAAAAGCAATAACATCCTTTTCTGCTAAAGGTAATTTTTTTAAGTGAACTTAGCACTCCTGAAAGGTGATAGATTGACAATCCTGTAAAGTGAAGTTCCTTATTTGGTCATTGACTATGGATAGTATGTAATTCAATGAATTATCTAGTGATACAACCCTGTCCCAGAAGGATAAGAATGGAGTCTGGTACTTCTTCTTTCACCCATTTCATTGAGGCATCACAACTTAGATGTCAGTTGTCAGGGTAGTTTCTGATGCAGTTGCTGTCAGTTAACAAGCAGAGTTGGAGTTCCAATTCATTTTCAATGCGCAACGACACGTGACTGTAATCAGTATTGACAGAAGGTAGATGGCCATCACAGACACTCTAGTGTAGGTCCTGTCTCCTATCCCCTACGCTGCTTCATTTGCAAAATGGCATCTAATAGCTGTTCAAAATGCATCAGGAAATCCTTGAAACAGCTAAGGAAGTTAAATCCGATGTAATAATCTTCTGTCAAGCTTGTAGTAAGATTTTGAAAGCTTTATGCTTAACTGGGGAAAATGAAGAAAATTCGTCAAACAGGCAAGTGGAAGATATTTCC